TGTAAAGTAACATGAAATGGCATTCACACTACTTTGCTTCTGTATTGTGATGCATTTCCAATACAAATAGGATATTCCACAAAAGAATGTAGGGTGGGGCTTGATTTAGTCTGAAGGGAATGATTGCATTGTGAAAGGTAGTTATAGGGGGATTACTGCAATATTTAAAGGAGTTTTAAACTTTAACAAACAATTACAAACACACTTTTTTCTTTGGAATGACGTGAAACAGTGAAATGTTTATACATAGTTCCTGACATGAAGACTGTTCCAAAAGGTAGGAACGCAGCATTACATTCGGTACCGATTTTCATACATTTTTGACTTCAGTTGTGACTTTAGTGACATTATTGCATTAAAAACCTGTTTCTGTACATACTACTCAGAAATACTACTGCTATTTTTGTCTTGTTTTCTAGCACTGTAAAAAATGCTGCTGCCGTTAGTTGTAACAACTTAAAAATAGTTGAGATAACTTAAATATCCAACTTAACTAAAGTTCAATAAAGTAAAAATTTTAAGTCAAGCACAAACACTTACCTTTTTAATCTGAAACAATGGCTTATTACTAGTGCTGGGCAACGATTAAATTTGTTTAAAAATCGTGATTAATCACATTATTTTCTGCGATTAATCGCGATTAATCACATTGTTGTGCACAAAATTCAATACTGAATTCAAAAGTAGTGTATTGTGCACTTTTTCATTTAAAAGTAGTGCTATATGAACAATAGTGAAATAACATTTGGTTTGCAAACACTTTAAACAAATAAGGTGCTTTTTTTACAGCAGTATTCCTTTTACATAGTAGAATTATAACACTATAACATTAATGTAATCAAATTAAATATAAAACCAAAGCTATTTGCCACTGCCAGGGCATTAAAGTTTGTATAGAAAATATTTTATAGTTTGTTATAGAAAAACAAGTTATGCTCAGAGTCTAGAGCCTTGATCATAACATTATAACAGGCACCTTCCGAGTAGAGACCTGCACTATCGCGGGACCCAACGCAGCAGAGTGCGGCGCGGGACAGCACTTGCTGAGCGAGAGCGCTTCTCTGCTGTCTTCACGTGCTATCGGAAACGTACTATTTCCAACTTATGAAGTTGTGAGCATTACATATGAGCGCTGGTGCAGTCTTAGGCCCTCCCCATATGCTCTCATTGGTTGAGACGCGTGATGACGCTCATCCCAAGCCAGTAACCTACTGATCAACATCCCACTCCTCCTGTGACCCATGGTTTGTCTGTGTGTGTATTCAGAGCCAGTGAGCAACAGACTTAGTTATTACTTATTCTAATGTTGAATTTTAAGTCATGATATTAACTAATCGCAGCAATCATTTTTACAGTGAGTAGAAATATCTAAAATCATGCAGATACACAGACTTAATAACTAACTTTTCTCAGTTTATAAGAATTTTATCAAAAATAATTGAACGTTTGTTTTGCTTAAGAACAATATCTGCCAAAAATGGCTTAAGAAAAAAAAACAAATCTTGTTTTCCATTTGAATTATGTTGATGTCTATTTTCTGTCTTTTCTGTCCCCATCTGTAGATATTTGTTCTTGTTTTAAGTGTAAATTTAATTTTGAGAAGCTTTAAAGACATAAGTTTTAAGAATTCATGTACTGTATCTTGATTTAAGGATGTTTCGATATTTGTACTGGAAAACAAGACAATTCTAAGACAAGTCCAAGTGCGAAAAAAATTTCTTACAGTGTTTTCACAATCTAAATGTTTTAGGATTAAGTTTGGTTGTCGCTTAAGTAAATATGAGACCTCTGTGTACAGAATAGGGTCAAGTGTTTAGAGAAGGAGTGACAACCGTATTTAACAGCAGTGAGTATGTGGCCTGTGTAGGTGGGAACAAAGCATGTGTGTTTTTGTCTTTACTTTAAAAGGTTTTGTTTTGCTCCAGCTTCATTTGGACTGAGTTTGATATGGGTTAAAGGTCAACCTAGTACAAATTGGAAGAAGAGTCAAAGGTCAAAGCTTAAAGGTGACCTCCACCACTGCTCGTTATGTTTGGGAGAGGTGTGTGTGTGTGTTTCACAGATTTACTGGTTGATTGGTTATCCAGAAGCCTCAGTTGACCTCTCTTTCTCTTGTTTGCTTGTTTATTCGTTTTAGTTAGCTCTCTTTCTTTTCTTGAAGTGTTTGGGATGTTCTGATCTGCACAGCCCCTTCTGCATTTTTATAGTAGTGGCAATAACTGTGGTAACTATGATACTGTACAACAATGTTGTTGTAGTATGAATTATGTTACCATGTGTTTTTTGCTAAAAATATCAACAAATGTGATTTTCTTTTTATTTTCTTTTGGTTTTAAATGTAATGAATTATGCTTTTTTTTCATTGCACTGTCAATCAAACATGCATGAAAGAGTGGCTGTTTGAAAGATCAAACTATCTTATACTCATACTATTTTTGTAGTATGCACAGTATGCAGTAGTGTTATTTTAATATCATCTATTTATTTATTTATTTAATCAGTGACAATACAAATACATAAAAATCTATGTAAACTGTGCCAGATTTTGCCAATAGTATTTTCATACTTAGACAGATATTAATATTTTGAATTAGGTTTTATTTCTTTTTATTTGTTTATTAGCTTTTATTTGTTTTTCATGTGTTATTTTAATACGTGATAAATGTTACATTGGCAACTAGATGATATTTTTATTATGTTTGTTTTTTAATCTTTTTTTTTTTTACATTTATTTTATTTCAGTAAATTTAATTGTGTTAAATATAAAAACCCTGGTATGTAAACTATCTGTATACTTGGAAAACCTGGATGAAATTTGCAGGAATGTGCAGTATAAATTAGACTGGAATATTTTATCCCACAATGCAATGTACTTAACTTGACCTGTCATCTATAACAGGATTTTTTACATCTCTTGTTTTAACTCATTTTTAAGACATTTTAAGCCAAATTAAGCCAAAAGTAAAAAAAAAAAAAAATAATAATAATATATATATATCTGTATACTTGGAAAACCTGGATGAAATTTGCAGGAATGTGCAGTATAAATTAGACTGGAATATTTTATCCCACAATGCAATGTACTTAACTTGACCTGTCATCTATATCAGGATTTTTTACATCTCTTGTTTTAACTCATTTTTAAGACATTAATAAAATATATTACTGTAAATAATATATATATATTCTTCTTTAATGTTTTAATTTAATTACATTATGAATACTAATATAAAAAATAGAAAATAAACAAATATTATTTAGACAAATATTATATTTTATTGAATATTTACATTATTTCAGACTACATTATTAATATATTAAATTTAATTATTCATAATATAATACTTAATTTACCTTTATCACTAAATAAATATATCTCAATCCCGCTTTAAGCAAAAACATTTCATGAAAAGTAGTTTGTTAGGTTTGAAACTTTGAGACGTTGAGCAAAAATGAAGAAAAGTGAAGTTAGTGAGGATAAAAACTCGTTTCTCCTAGACGGGGCTGTAACTATCATAGATGTCAATGACTGATTCATAAACTTTTACATTTGTTCTCCCCAATCTAGCATATTTGCTTGCCTCCAGATACCAATGAGACTAAATGGAGAGCAAATGGAGACTTTCATTTAAGTAAATGACACCAGTAATTTCATCTGTTTTCAATAAAGTCCCAAAAGAGATCTTAATAATGTGCTCAATCATACCAAGACACCACAGTCTGCCCTCAACTTTCAGAGATCTCAATATGAACTCAAGCATTTCTCATCAAATGCACCCAAATTATCTGCTTTCAACATTCATTTTATAGTTGACATACTAACTTTGTCAACTATTGATAAAGACATTTTAGAAGAAACACCATGACACTTAGATGAAACTTAACTGAGAAGTCAATTAAAATATCCTGAGCTATACAACAGCAACATCTGAGTGAATGTGAATGTGTGCGGCGATCCGTAGAGCAGAGACCAGCTGCATTACAGATCCTGCATTAGACACACACAGAACTGCAGTCGGTAAATGTTCTGAAGGTTGACACTCACCCAAGTTCTCCTCCACGAGTCCCAGAAGCCCAATGACCAGCACACAGACCCAACGCAAGCAAGTCCTCAAGAGATCCATCTTCTGTGTGCGCAACTCCAGCGAGCGAGTGAATCCCTCAGCTGTCTGCTCAGCACACACTCTTGAGTTGTGTGTGTATGTGTGTCCTCTACAGAATGTGAGAAACTGCACACCCCACAGCAGCCTCAATCACAGCTTCACACCGACTGCCCAGTGAGAGAGAGACAGAGAGACAGAGACAGAGAGAGAGAGGGGAGGGGATTATTCACAGTCTTACACACAGTAGCCTCAGTGTAGTTGGGCCAAACCCCACCCCCACTTTGAGACCACGCCCCCATATTTTCACCTCACCCCCCTGTTGCCTTCTTTTTACCAAACACACCGGCTGAATGCAATACAAGCATACTGTTTCCAGCTTACTGTGCACTGCTGCATACATATCATCACAGAAATTAATTATTAAAAATAAATAATTATATTAGGAAATACACTATATAATTTATTTATTCTACAATATTTTATTAATAAGTATAATAACAAATTACTATAAAAAAAAAAATATATATATATATATATATATATATTTTTTTTTTTATAGTAATTTGTTATTATACTTATTAATAAAATATTGTAGAATAAATAAATTATATAGTGTATTTCCTAATATAATTATTTATTTTTAATAATTAATTTCTGTGATGATATGTATGCAGCAGTGCACAGTAAGCTGGAAACAGTATGCTTGTATTGCATTCAGCCGGTGTGTTTGGTAAAAAGAAGGCAACAGGGGGGTGAGGTGAAAATATGGGGGCGTGGTCTCAAAGTGGGGGTGGGGTTTGGCCCAACTACACTGAGGCTACTGTGTGTAAGACTGTGAATAATCCCCTCCCCTCTCTCTCTCTGTCTCTGTCTCTCTGTCTCTCTCTCACTGGGCAGTCGGTGTGAAGCTGTGATTGAGGCTGCTGTGGGGTGTGCAGTTTCTCACATTCTGTAGAGGACACACATACACACACAACTCAAGAGTGTGTGCTGAGCAGACAGCTGAGGGATTCACTCGCTCGCTGGAGTTGCGCACACAGAAGATGGATCTCTTGAGGACTTGCTTGCGTTGGGTCTGTGTGCTGGTCATTGGGCTTCTGGGACTCGTGGAGGAGAACTTGGGTGAGTGTCAACCTTCAGAACATTTACTGACTGTAGTTCTGTGTGTGTCTAATGCAGGATCTGTAATACAGCTGGTCTCTACGGATTGCCGCACACATTCACATTCTGTTGTATAGCTCAGGATACTTTAATTGTGTTCTCAGTTATGTTTCACTTTATCAGTGGTTGACATACAGTCAGTATAGAGCTATAAAATAAACGTTAGAAGCAGATCATTGTGCATTTGATGAGAAAAATGAGTTCATATTGAGATCTCTGTTGACTTGATGGCAGACTGTTGTGTCTTGGTATGATTGAGCACATTATTAAGATCTCTTTTGGGACTTTATTGAAAACAGATGAAATTACTGGTGTCATTTACTTAAATGAAAGTCTCCATTTGCTCTCCATTTAGTCTCATTGGTATCTGGAGGCAAGCAAATATGCTAGATTGGGGAGAAGAACAAAAGTAAAAGTTTACAAATCAGTCACTATGATGGTTACAGCCCCATCTAGGAGAAACGAGTATGATTAAAGAGATTTTATAGGCCATTTTTCTCTTCACTAACTTCACTTTTCTTCATTTTTGCTCAATGTCTCAAAGTTTCAAACCTAACAAACTACTTTTCATGAAATGTTTTTGCTTGAAGTGGGATTGAGAGATATTTATTTAGTGATAGATGTAAATAAAACTATATTATGAATAATAAAATGTAATATAAAAATGTATAATATAGTCTAAAATATAATGTAATATAAATATTCAATACAATTTGTTTAAATTTGTTTTTTTTATATTTGTATTATAATATAATGAAATTAAATCATAAAGTAGAATATACAAATGATTTACAATAATATATTTGACTAAACTAGATAAAAAAAAAAGTAATTTGTTGATCAATTATAAATATTATTAGTTAAACATAAATAATTATAATTTAATGATATTTATCTGATGCAATGTCATTTAATTACAACTTATTAAATCTGTATTTCTTTGTTAGTATGTACAGTATATGTGCTATATGGTACGTCGTGTTTGGTGGTAGTGATGGTGTGGCAAATGGTCAGCCAGGTGTTGCTGTGTGTGTTTCTTGTTTGGTAGTGTGCTATAAGCCTGGTTTTACACACAGTTGGAGGTCCAGCTTTGAAATCACTCAGTGTTTAATCTATACAACAGACTTTCTTTCTCACACCTGTTTGACTTTGTGTTTTCTAGCCAGACTTTATTTTTCGTTATTTTAATAATCAATGACTTTGCCTTCTGGAAATGGGTTTAATTGCATAGTGAAGTAAAGTAATTTTGTATTTGCTGTAATAAATGTTATTTTGCTGTTGGCCCTTTGCAGTATAAACCAAATTTGGTGTACCAAAGGACACATGTACAGAAGCATCAAAAAGTACTTGGACACTGTCTAAAAGTCACTGCATTCAGACATAACTAACATAAGACTTTGCTCAATGTCTTCTAGTTTTTACTGGATATATAGGAAGTCAGTTCTCCTTAAAGCAGCACTATGTAACTTTTTCTGTGTTCAAAATTTGCAAAATGTATATAATGAGCGAGTACATCATGAATTCATCTTCCAAACCGCGTTTTTGTCTTATTCCGAATCACTACTACACTTATAATAAGTACTTATATTTGGACTATTGTAGCCTGGTCGGGTCGTCACCGCTGCGGAGTAACACATACCTGTGTGAATCGCCATAGACATAACTTAGAGAAGTAGCTCTGGTTGGAATGTTCTTCCACGGGATGTGTGCATTTCTGTTTATTAACTGCTAGAGCGCCAAAAGTTACATAGTGCTGCTTTAAGTTCACACATTTGTCCTATTTATTTTAGTGTATCTTCTGTTTAACGATTTCAAACTTAACAAACTTCTTGTGTTTGCTTAAAGTGCGGTTGTGATGTTTATTAAATGATATATTTAATCATATTATTTAATAAATGATTCAGTGATAAAATGTAAATTAATTTAAAATTATTTAAAGGCACAATATGTAAGTTTTCGCCACTAGAGGGTGCGTATTAAAAAACAAAGGTGTAGTTTGATGACAGCATCACAGAGTGTGGAATCATGGGAGTTGTGGTCTTCATCCCCACAGCCGATGCAATCCGACTCGGGCAGAAATCATGTTCATGGATGAGCTAATGTATTAAAGATTTATTAGTGTCATAGTATGAAGCAGGGTGTGGTTGAAAGCCGTCGCAGCGTAACGAGGCCGCTGGCAAGCAGCGGAGCTTTTATTATGCCACAGTCGACCGCTTCTGCTCCTTCCGGTCGTGCGTATGTGGGGTAAAGCAGCGCTGTTTTATCATACTAGATACATTTGAAAGTTCTGTTATAATGCTACTCTGTCCGGTCGTCACCTGTTTAATAAAATGCATAACATATTAAAAGCATCTTTGGTGTTTCCATGTTTTCTACAAAACAAAACCGGAAATCGAGGGGTTATGACGTCATTGGCAGGCGACACAATGACACTATAGACACACTCCGTGCCACTAGTTAAAATTGCTTATTTTTCTGGATTTAAACATTCAGGATAATGTAAGTACACAAGTAAGTACACAAATCATTTTTGGCTATTTTAATAAAAAAATCTTACATATTGTGCCTTTAAATAATACAATTTAATAAATATAATACATAAATATATTTAGTAAATCAGAATAAAAATATGAAATATTGATAATGAAATCAATAATAATATAGTATTTAATCAAATATAATATTTATGTTTAAATAATTTTAAAATAAATTATAATACATTTTATATTGTAATGTAAGTAAAATGATAATTTATTAAATCTATATCATTTATTAAATCTAAGATGGTAAAGAGATTGATGTTCCTATCCGTTTTGTGTTGGCTTGTGTGTACACTCATATTCACTCAATGCTTTCTCTTGTCTCCTGAGCGATAAAGAGAGAGTGAAGGTTCCATCATCAGCCATTTCCATCATTTCCCATCCCATAATAACCTTCAGACACGGTCCAGACCTGTCTCCCGACACCCAGGCGCACAGTGAACTCATCCGCTGTCCAGCGAGTGAAGCGGAGACTGCTGTGTCTCTGTCAGAGTTTATTTGCAGTCCACAGCATCTCAGCCTCTCCATCACACTCACTGCCGCCATGCCAGCTCATACATGTCGACTCTGAGTGTCAGCATATATGTTTGTGTCGGATTGGATGCGGGTCTGCCGCTTGTGGAGTATATAAACCAATAGGGCTGCACAATTATTTGAAATGAAACACAAATTGCAATATGGCTGTGATTTAATTAAATTAATGCATGTGTTGCATGTTTTAGAGTGAAGCACGACACTGTGTTCTTTTACACGCAAACTTGTGATCTGGTGTTTTCAGTGTTTCAGAGTGGCTCGGTTCATAGTAAATGCTGCTTCACACATTCTGTGAGTTTGAGTCTTTAATGTGTATTTGGGAACACAATTTGTGCCAGCAATCTTTAAAAACTAGTAGCGATAAGTGCTTATAAACTGATACTTAAACTGATGCTTTAAGGACTCCGTGCAGTTTTCCACCAAAAATAAGATTGTTTGAAAATTAAGAAATTAAGACAGCAATTAATTTTATTGTAATTTTACTGTTGTGCGACAAAGTGAAATGATTGCTATGATTATTATTAATAAATATTATTACTACTACTACTAATAAATTCTTATACTTATAATTAGGGTTGGGCGATGTCTACAAAATTGGCATGGGACGATGTCTACAGTGAAACATCGCGATGGACGATGACATCGGCGGGGGTGTGCGGGAGGAGGGGTTTGAGGGAAGAGTTAGGGGGTGTGCCCGAAGCGTGAATCCTTATAAGGGAAAACACGATTCCTAACACCGTGTCTACACCGGCCACGAGTGGTGCTGCGCGACAAAATACTATAGAACCACTGATCTATAATAGAGATTTATTATATATAGATCAGTCTATAGATCTCATTATAATCAGTGATACTGTCTACACTGGATGTGGTGCGACTCAACAAATCCCCAACAGTAAACTCCTGCTGCGTTCTATTTATGACGTGCTGACACAAATTTCAAATGATTTTCAATGGTCGCTTTGGAGTTTGTCGCATCCAGTGTAGCCAGACTTTAGCTGATGTGGCACGGTGCGGCGCGACTCGACAACTGTCGCATCCGGTGTAGACACGGTGTAACGGTTGTCTGTTACATTACAGTACATCAAATTTAACTTACCACATAAACAGAGTAAGGAGAGATGACTGAGGACGATGGCGAATGATTTGCAGATCCTCAGTACCACTGACAAACATATAATCTTGTAAAATGTGTGGGAAGTACTGCCGCTCCATAGTATAAACGGAGTACATGCGATCGCGAATCTCGAAAGTGAAAGTGAAACTAAAAGCAATCGTGCATTCAAAAGCACGATGCCAGTTTCAATGGCAGGTATAATAGCGGCTCCCTGATGCCGAAATATATATGTAGTATAATTACCCAATTATATAACTGCGAGGAAAAATATTGAAATATATATTTTCCTCCCATCTTGTATTTATTCCCTTTAGGGGTTCCGCCTACACGTCATTTTCTTTCCGAACACGGTATTGGGATGCGGGGGAATGGGGGGCCGGCTCAACATCGTGATGTCTATCAGCCATTGGCGATGGACGATGGCATCGTCTATCGGCCCAACCCTATTTATAATAAGATATATTACAATAGTTATATTTTTTAATTTAGTAATACTAATAGTAAACTTATTTTACTGATATTTTATTACTATTACAATTTACTTTACAAAGAAATATTACAACAGTAATGTTTGTAATCTTTTAATTTAATAAAATAATTAATATAATAAAAATAATATTTAAAAACATTTATAACATTTAAATAATAACATTTATTATTATTATTATTATTACTAGTAGTAGTAGTAGTAGTGGTTTTGTGGTTAAAGGGGTCATATGATGCGATTTCAAGTTTTCCTTTCTCTTTCAAAATACTATAGAACCACTGAT